ATCCAAGGAGCCTAAATCCTAAACACTAAATCGGAAATCCTAAATCCTAAACCCTAAATCCTAAATCCTAAACCTTAAATCCTAAATCCTAGATCCTAGATCCTAAACCTTAAATCCTAAATCCTAAATCTAGATTTTAGAGCTGGTTGTCCTTTTCCGAAAAGGACAAGCGCGACTAAGTATTGAAAATCGGAAGCTTAAGAGCAGCCACACAAAAAGAAAGGAGGGGACCTCGAGATTCGTAACCGGCCTTGTCTAAAAGGCACATTTTATGAACAGAATTTGCCACTTGAAAATCACGAGCAAAATCCAAATTTCCCGAGGCTACATCCTAAATCCTAAATCCTAAACCCTAAATCCTAGAATCCTAAACCCTAAATCCTAAACCCTGAATCCTAGAATCCTAAACCCTAAATCCTAAACCCTAGAATCCTAAACCCTAAATCCTAAAATCCTAAACCCTAAACCTTAGAGTCCTAGAATCCTAAACCCTAAACCCTAGAGTCCTAGAATCCTAAACCCTAGAATCCTAAACCCTAAACCCTAGAATCCTAAATCCTAGAACCCTGAACGTAAATCCTGAACCCTAAATTCAGCCACACGAAAAGAAAGGAGGGGACCTCGAGATTCGCAATCGGCCTTGTCTAAAAGGCGCGTTTTATGAGCGAACAGAATTTGCCACTTGAAAATCACCAGCAAAAGCCAAATTTCCCGAGGCTACATCCTAAATCCTAAATCCTAAACCCTAAATCCTAGAATCTTAAACCCTAAACCCTAGAATCCTAAACCCTAAATCCTAAACCCTAAATCCTAGAATCCTAAACCCTAAATCCTAAACCCTAAACCCTAGAATCCTAAACCCTAAATCCTAAAATCCTAAACCCTAAACCCTAGAGTCCTAGAATCCTAAACCCTAAATCCTAAACCCTAAATCCTAGAATCCTAAACCCTAGAATCCTAAACCCTAAATCCTAAACCCTAAATCCTAGAATCCTAAACCCTAGAATCCTAAACCCTAAACCCTAGAATCCTAAATCCTAGAATCCTGAACCCTAAATCTTAAAATCCTAAACCCTAAACCCTAGAATCCTAAACCCTAAATCCTAAACCCTGAATCCTAGAATCCTAAACCCTAAATCCTAAACCCTAGAATCCTAAACCCTAAATCCTAAAATCCTAAACCCTAAACCCTAGAGTCCTAGAATCCTAAACCTTAAACCCTAGAATCCTAAATCCTAGAATCTTGAACCCTAAATCCTAAAATCCTAAGCCTTAAACCCTAGAATCCTAAACCCTAAATCCTAAACCCTAAATCCTAGAATCCTAAACCTTAAATCCTAAACCTTAAACCCCAGAGTCCTAAACCCTAAATCCTAAAATCCTAAATCCTAAACCCTAAACCCTAAAATCCTAAACCCTAAATCCTAGAATCCTAAACCCTGAACCCTAAATCCTAGAATCCTAAACCCGAAACCCTAAATCCTAGAATCCTAAACCCTAAATCCTGAATCCTAAGCGCCCTCCAGAGTCAATGGTTCACGATTTGGGGTTACTCTTTAGCTACGCTAAAGGTGGTCTGGATACGGCCAGCCCTTAATTGAGTTCGGACGTTGTCGTAAGCAAGGCCACATTCGTTGGCCTGTCCAGGACAGGCGGCGAGGCTTAACCCTCGCCTTTCCGTCTCTCTTTCCGTATGGGCGCTCGGGCTGTTAGCCACTCGGGACGAAGCGCTCGGGGCCCCCCCCCCTTGTCGTTCAGACGGTTTCGGCCTACTACGTATTAGTTTAGGGTTAGGGTTTAAGGGTTTAGGGTTTAGGGTTAGGGTTTAGGGTTCTAGGGTTAGGGTTTAGGGTTGGGTTTAGGGTTTAGGGTTTAGGGTTTAGGGTTTAGGGTTTAGGGTTTAGGGGTCAGCAGCTCTGGTCGAGCAGTCTCTAGTCAAGTTCGCTAGTAAGAACTTGGAAGAATACCCACCCACCCAAAGAATCCCAAAACATAAGAGTTAGAAAGTTTTTTCGTTACCCTCAGACGACATCAAACTTCAAACCCTACAACTCGATTTCTACGGATACTTATGTTTCTAGTGCTGCAGTATAGACATGCCTAAACCCTAAATTCCCTATAGTGTCAACCAGGTTTTCGAATGGACCCACCAGTGTTGCACCAGGTTTTCGAATGGGGGTCCATTCGAGCATTAACATAAACTAAAGTGGTGAATCTAGCCACCCAAAGAACCCCATAACACTAGGATATACAAATTTCTTCATAATTTAGCCCTTGCTTAAGCACCCACCACTTCCATAATGAGCTAATAAAAATTGTTTCGCTTATTGGGGCGTTTGGAAGGCAAACCTCTTGTGGAATTGTTTCGCTTATTGAAGGGCAGTCACACCAAGCAGTCCCAGGAAAGCCAAGAGCATGAGCATCGCTTATTGGGGGGTAGTCACACCAAGCAGTCCCAGGAAAGCAAAGAGCATGAGCATCGCTTATTGGGGAGTAGTCACACCAAGCAGTCCCAGGAAAGCAAAGAGCATGAGCATCGCTTATTGGGGGGTAGTCACACCAAGCAGTCCCAGGAAAGCAAAGAGCATGAGCATCGCTTATTGGGGGGTAGTCACACCAAGCAGTCCCAGGAAAGCAAAGAGCATGAGCATCGCTTATTGGGGGGTAGTCACACCAAGCAGTCCCAGGAAAGCAAAGAGCATGAGCATCGCTTATTGGGGGGTAGTCACACCAAGCAGTCCCAGGAAAGCAAAGAGCATGAGCATCGCTTATTGGGGGGTAGTCACACCAAGCAGCCCCAGGAAAGCAAAGAGCATGAGCGCCAGGGTTCTCGCGCTGGGAGATAAGGCGCCATCCCCTCCAAGTCGTCTGCCAAACTGTTTTTGGCTTTTTCAGTCCCTGTCAGAGTCGCCATGCAAGTCCCCGCCAGAGTCGTCCGCCGTCCCCGCCAGGTCGCCCGCCGTCCCCGCCAGGTTCGTCCGCGGTCCCCCTGCAGAGTCGTCTGCCAAGCTGTTTTTGGCTTTTTTGCTGTCACAACAGAGTCGTCCGCCGTCCCCGCCAGGGTTGCCCGCCGTCCCCGCCAGGGTCGCGCGCCGTCCCCGCCAAAGTCGTCCGTCCACCAAGTCCCCGCCAGGGTCGTCAGCCGTCCCCGCCAGAGTCGCCCGCCATACCCGCCAGGGTCGCGCGTCAAGCTCTTTCTACCAGGTCCCGTCCCCGCCAGGGTTCTCGCGCTGGGAGATAAGGGTACCCAATTTTACTATTGTGCCCCATGGCTAGCAGTGCCAAATCAGGTCTGGTAGACTCGATCTGCTTGGCCAAGCAAGCAGATCTCGAAGCGGTAGCGTTCAGTGGTACCGGCCGCCGCCGGGCACGGGCGGCCAATGGTTTAGGGTTTCAGGGTTTAGGGTTTCAGGGTTTAGGGTTTTAGGGTTTAGGGTTTCAGGGTTTAGGGTTTTAGGGTTTAGGGTTTCAGGGTTTAGGGTTTTAGGGTTTAGGGTTTCAGGGTTTAGGGTTTTAGGGTTTAGGGTTTCAGGGTTTAGGGTTTCAGGGTTTAGGGTTTTAGGGTTTAGGGTTTCAGGGTTTAGGGTTTTAGGGTTTAGGGTTTCAGGGTTTAGGGTTTTAGGGTTTAGGGTTTGGGGTTTAGGGTTTAGGGTTCCAGGGTTTAGGGTCTGGGGTTTTAGGGTTTGGGGTTTGGGGTTTAGGGTTCCAGGGTTTAGGGTCTATAGGGTTTTAGGGTTTGGGGATTGGGGTTTAGGGTTTAGGGTTCCAGGGTTTAGGGTTTTAGGGTTTGGGGTTTTAGGGTTTAGGGTTTCAGGGTTTAGGGTTTTAGGGTTTAGGGTTTCAGGGTTTAGGGTTTTAGGGTTTAGGGTTTGGGGTTTAGGGCGTCTCGCCGCGCAGCGGCAGTATTTTCTATGTAGGATGGCGCCCCAACACTCCCAGGGGTGTGAGGGGGCGGCATATCTACGTCTAGCATTAGAAGGCGGTTCCATCACCAAACAATTACAAATTGGTTATTGTTTTTATCCCGCCCGCTGTGAGATCACACAGGCTACCACCCAAAATATTGCCTTTTAGGGTTTAGGGCTTACGCCCTCAATTCCCACCTCGACCCTGGCTTGCCGCTGCTGCACACTTTGCGTGCTTTCGTTGCGTACTACTGTCGGAGGCCCACGAAACAAAAAAAACGCATACACTTTGCTTCGAAGCGCAAAGACAAGGGCACCAAGTGCAAAAGCATACAAGAAGTCGTGGTGAGCCAATGCCTGCGGCAGGGAGCAAAACAAAACTTGGGTCTAGCACCAAACAACTGAGCAAGGGGCACGGGTATATAGCATTGCAGAAGCACATACCTGCAAACCAACTTCGACGAACGCAAGTAAGCCATGGCTTGCCGCGGCCGAGTGCATTCGATTTTCCATGAAGCGCACCCCTCAGTCGGACTCCGATCAGCTACTGAAGCCGGCACCTGCTACACGCTCAGCCAGCCAGGAAGAGAAAATCGTGAGCACAAGCCGCTGAATGGCGAGAAAATCTCAGTGAAGGCGTGCTGGCGAGAAGTGATGGATGCCGGGGTTGCCCACGTAGCGCCAGTTCGCGTCGTACTCGACGCGGCTGAGTGCGACATAGGCCGCGGCGGGCATGTTGGGCACATCCAGCCAGAGGGTGATGTGCGGGAGGGTCGCGCCCTGCACTTTGTGCAAGGTGCTTGCATAGCCAAGCCGCAGTGGGTAATGATGCACGCGGTCCTCGGAGGTCCAAGGATGCACGGCCAGCCTGACTCCTTGGTCCGTCTTCACGATGATGTTGCCGTGGTCCATGCCCAGCACCACTGCGCCCATGCCGTTGACGAACCCGACGGACTTGTTCAAGTTCTTGGTGAGAATGACTCGCGAGCCTGCATAAATGGGCACCTCCACGGGCGTCTGTGTCACCATCCGGCCGCGAGCGAAGTTCTCCACGTTGCTCTCCGGGTCGCCCGGCACGACCGCCAAGGGAGTGTCCTCGCGGAAGAGCGCGGCCACGGCGGCATCATTCAGTTGCGCGCAGGCGCGGCGACTGATTGTCAAGAATAGCGTGTTCGGAGTCTCCTCGAGAATGTGGGCCACGTCCTCCATCGATGGCTCTGCATTCATGACGTACCCGGCTCTGCGCAAGGAAGGAGCTTTGTGGCCGGCTTTGATCTGGCGCAGCTGCTCCACAGAGGGCTTGCCGATACGCAGGAGTTCTAGGGCCTTCCGCAGTTTCGGACACTTGCACCGCTGCATCGTCTGGAGCTGCCGCTTCTTGATGAGGACGCTGTGCCAATGCGGGGAGTCCAATGCGCTGGTGGGGTCGACACCCGGCAACTGATAAAAGTCCCCGACGAACACCAAAGTGGGAATTTGATCGGTCGCTTGCCACTGCTCTAGGATACGCTCGAAGATGGTACGAGAAAGTTGGCCAACTTCTTCAACCACGATCAGGTCGTAAGGCCACAGCACTTCCAAGGCTTCCTGCGCAGGCTTGTGCACGAGGAAGGCGCCATGCACGGTGTCGACCTCCAGATCCGGGAAGCGCTCGCGCAGAGCGGCTGCCAAACGACCCGTCGGGGCAGTGAGCAGGATGCGGCCACCCGCTGCAGAGACCCGTTGTATGGCGTCGTGCACCGCCGTCGTCTTGCCACTTCCAGCCGGCCCGAGCACAGCAAAGGGCGTGCGGGCATCCACCACACCTGCGAAAGGAGAAGGGTCAGCTGCCCAGGCCGGATTCGCCGCCGCTGCATCGGCAGGGTCTGGGGAGTCCCAGCCCTCTCCTCTCCAGGCATCCTCGCGCTGCTGTCGCCGGCGCATGCCCTCTTGCGCACTGTCCACAAGCTCGTCGGCGATACGACGCTGCTGGACGGATAGCCGGACGCGGGCGCCGCCGCCGAAGGACTGCGCCGCAGCTTCAGGACTCGGGACGTCCTCATTCTTGTCGAGCTCGCCGGAGAGGTACCTGCGAATCAAGCCTTGGTTGGCAAAGAGCATGGCCACGATGTTGCGCACGTGGTGCTCGCGGAATGCCTCCAGCTCGAGCTCTGCACGAATGGCTTCCTCGCTCGTCCAGTGTTGAGGTCGCAACAGGAATGCCAGCGTCTGATAGTAGAGGTGCGACGGGACCAAGTCGAGCTCGGGGCGGTACAGCTCCTCCAAGCTTCGAAAAGGCACGTTCATGAGAACCCACTGCCCGTAGTAGCGATCGCTGTAGCGGGAAAGGTAGATGGCGGCCACGGCCACGTCGCCACAGAGCGGGGCGTTGTTGGACCAAACCTCGAGGGACTCGAGCGGTTCCGCGGTGCCAGGCCTCCCCACCATGTCGTTGCAGCGCTTGCGCAAGGGTTCGTCCTCCGCAAAAAATCCGCCAGCGGCATGTCGGCGGCCCGCCAGGGGCTGGAGAGGTATTGCTGCACACGCTCCGGCAGCTCGCTTTCCCAAGGGACCGGAACAGGGAAGCGCTGCAAAGTGCTGCCTGCAAAACATTGTGGGAACCACTGCATGGCCAGTTGCAGTGTCATCTCTGGCTCCATGGGGTGGTAATCGGTCAGAACACGCCGGGCAACCGCGTAGTCGCTGCAGGCGTCGGCAAGCCACTCTGTCGTGAAGCTGTCCGAAAACTTGGGTACGTAGCCCGAGACGTACCGCAGCAGCATGCCGCGGCCGTCCGACATCTGCACGTCAATGTGGCAGTGCAAGCTGGCGAGTAAGTCCTTGATGTAGCCGCACACTCCCTCGGGGTCACCAGTTGCATCGCTGAACGTGCAAAAGTCCGACTCTTTGTGCTGGAGGCGAAGCACGCCGTCGGAAGCATCGTAGTGGGAGGCACCCGGATGTACCGGCCACCCGCTGCCAGTCCAGGAGCGCTGGGAGCCTTCCACCAAAGACGCCATGACGGGGTTGTCCTCGGGCACGGTGGCAGACAAGCTTTCCTCGAGGCGGACGGCTTCGATGTGCTGGAGCCAAATCAACAGCTGCAAGTGAACGGTGCCACGGCCGTGGTAGAATTGCGAAGCGACTTCTTGCTCGTTGACGTACCGGCGCCGCTTGCCATCTTGGTACTCCAGGCGACCGAAAAAATTCACCACAGTCTTGCGGCCGCTGCCATCCTTCGCTGCAAAGATGTGGCTGCGCCAGCCGGCGTCGCGGGAGCGGGCCGCCCCTGACGTCGCCTGCTTGTTCGCGCCGGTTAGCAAACCTTGCACCGTCTGAGCCAGGACGTGTGCTATGTGGAGAGTCTCCGCGACCGGCAGCCGCAACTTGCCACGCAGCAACTTCGCCATCTCGTCTTCCACCCAGGAATGAAACGGAAAGCTCCATTCGTAGGGCGCCACAGTAACAAAGAGAGTGGGCAGCCCCAGTTGCTTGACCACATCGATGAGAGCGGCGTGCCGAGTCTGCCAATATTCCGGCGAGAAGGAATAACCGGACATCGCCACACGTAAAGGCGCCTCCACCGTGTTCTTCTTGGCACCCAAAACACTCCAAACCCAAAGATCATACACGAACTGAAACAGTTCGTAATCGGCACCGTAGCCGAGAGTCGGGCCAAGGACCTTCGCCAAGTAGGCACTCTTCGCGGAGTTGCGGCCGGAGCGGGCAAAGTCCAGTGGAGCTGCGGCCTCGGCTTCGTCGGCTTCCGAACAATCCTCCTCTTGCTCGTCGTGCAAGTCCTGCATGCCCTCGTCTGCGGAGACGGCATCTTCTGCATCGACCAGACTGTCAAGCATAGAGCTGCCTGGCTCTACAGGACGGCCTCGTCGCCGCACATCAGCTTTGCGAATGTGCGTCTCGCACATTGTGGTCCGGGGGTATAGATGCGGCCAGACGGCACACTCCAGCCCCACTTCCTCGAGGGCGCGACGCGGCAGTCGCAGACGGCCATCACGTTCTTCGCCGCTGAGGTCGCTCCGGTACCGACGCAGAAATTGGTTGTGCATGTAGACGAAGCGGGAGTAAGAGCTGTCGTCAGCGCCCATGAGATAGTCGTAGGCAGTCGTGGCGGCGGTGCGTTCGACATCCGAGAGCATACCAATCGAGCGTGGTCGCCACCAGAAGCGGATCATGTCTGTGTGCACCCGGTAGCCATGTCGAGCAAAGACGGGCAAGCCGACATCCGGAGACAGCGGCCGCAAAGCCCAGAGTACATTCAACGACAGGTTCCGGAGCTGCGGCGGGATGAAATCCGGCGACACCGTTGGATACCCAGTTCCAGCCCGACAGTGCTGACAGCGGGCGATCGTGTGCCGAGAGGACCGGTTGGTCCCGGCAGATGTGATGTCTCGCTCCCACACTGGGCGAGGTTCCAGTCGATGGCATTGCTGGCACATAGCCCAAGATGTTTCACGGCACCAGGCCTCGAAACGTGTAGCCAGCTCAGGACGCCAGCTTTCGTCGCCGTCGGCTCTGGCGGCCATCCAAGGCCCGAACTTCGCCCGAAGGCGTCTCTCATCGTCGGCTTTCTTGGCGCGGTAGACTGCGTCGGCGTCAGCTGAGACAGGCAGACCAGGATTCACGCGATGGGCGAGCAAGGTGTGCCAGGACTGCGCTGCATCAGCAGCCGCACGGCGTGCGGCGACGGCGGCCTTAGCACGCGAGGGCCGCGCCAGTGCTGCAGTCAGCGTGGCGTGATAGCTCTCTGGCACTCTCTGCCACGCTGCGGCGAGGACACCGGACTCGTCGGCTTCAGACCAAATCCGTAAAGCACGTGTCACATGTCTGCGATTGTAAGGGTTCTCGAGCTGCGCTGTCAGACTTGCCGGCGAACACCACGTGCAGGCCGCTTCACCGTGCCGGCAGCGTGCCGCCTGTCCAAGTGTCCGGGCCTGCAATGAAAAGATGCAAGGTGTGCCATCTCGTCCAGGGCAGGTTTCGTTGGGCCTTCGGTGCCGCGGACGTTTGACTTTGGGCTCAGGGAGTACACCAGGATGCTCAGCGACGACTAAGATCTCCGGGCCCCCACAAATGTCCTCTGCGAGAGCCTCGGCGTCGGCAGCCTCAGCAAGAACTTCTTCAAGCACAGCCTGAGCCATGGTCGGAAGGCAACTACAAGCGAGAGCGCTATAGACGATTACGATTGTACGTTGGAGCCAAATCTGTCGGTGCAAAGAATTGCACAGTCGCATAAACATCCAGTCGTACAGCAGGGGCACACTGTTAAGCAGTATGGTCACACATCTGTCAAAGGGCTGAAGAGTTGCCTCGCGCCGGATGCAGCTGTTTTCTCACGCAAAAAACCAGGCGACTTCCCGTCTGCTGCCTACGGCCAAGACTGTACTCTCCTCGACGCGCGGCACTGAGACATCCAAACACAGAGCCTAGGCGGCAGTCGCCCTCGCTTGCTTTAGCCTCCCTTTCGCACGAGGACGACCTTGCTGCACTCTCTGGCCAAAGTCACGTCGGGCTGGATTTCACGGATGACCTGATCCTCATCCATGGCCCGGATATCCCAATTCGCCACGTCAGCTTGACTGCCCTGTGCCTCGAACAGGCGACGAACCGCAGAGGCCACCGTCTCACCATCTTCAATGACCTCGACCTTGTCGACAGGGGAGCCTTCCGTCACCATGGCCTTGCCCGCACCGGAGACAGCGGTGACGCGATAGATCTCGAGGGCCACGTCTTTCGCAGATCGGCGCTTGGAGCACGAGTCGGAAGCAGGCGAAGGCGACTGGCGTTCGTTGGCCGCTTTCTGCGCCTCCTTGTCTTTCTTCTTCTTCTTGGGGACAGTAATGGAATCGGGGTCGTCCGACTTTTCTGCCTTCCTCTTGTCTTTCTTCTTCTTGTTGGCGACAGCGATGGAATCCGGGTCGTCTGACTTGTCTGCCTTTGGCCCTTTCTTCGGCTTCTTTGTCTCAGCAGTCTTTGGTTTTCTGCTCGCGGCCTTTGCCTTCTTCCCACGTGACGGACTAGACGTAGGAGACGAGGAGCCCGAGGTGCCGCCGGATCCGGTTGGGCTGGCGGACGCCTCGCGAACGGGGTGCTTCTTTTTGAAGAGAGACGAGGCAGTGTTGCCGCGATCACGCGAGTCCTCCTCGAGCTTTTCAGTGAGTAGAGTTGCCAAGGCCTTGTGCATCCTTGAGGTGTCGTTGCTGTGCTTGCGCCACGCCTTGACATTGGCAGAGTCCGAGACGGTGTCCGGGATATGCGACACCCACCATGCTGGATCGGAGGCACACACGAGCAACGGCAGCAGCGCCGTACCCATCAGGTACAAGCGGCTGCTAGCGATGGTGACCTTCGTCACTAACTCTGCCAGACGAGGGGTTTTGGTCAGCTTCTTGAACAGCAGCGCCACAGCCGCGCGAAGGTCCTTGTTGTCGTGCTGAGCACTGGTGTCCGTAGTGTTGAGCTGGGCCAGGGCTGCATTGAAATCAGGGTCGTGGAAGATGCTCGCAAGTTCCTCCAGTTCGACGTCTGCCAGCGCACCGAGGACGTCGACCCCGGCCTGCACGGATCCGGCTGCTTCGCTGATCCCCACACCAGGGCGCCGGAGCACATGTGTGGAGTCAGCTGTTAGGAGGGCCTTGAGATGCTTGGTGCCGAGGAACAAGTCGTCCGAGATGTTTCGCTTCGCATCCTTGACCAAAGCCGAACCATCCTGACCGGCGCTCGCTTTCAAAATGGCTTTGGGGAACTGGTACCTGGACCAGATCCTTCCAGTACGAACTTGTGCTTCCTGGGGCTCCTCGGCTGCTTCGTCCCACCAGTCGCCCTTTCGGGGGCCCTTCTTGGCCTTTCCCTTGCTGGACCACTTGCCGGGCTTGCCCCAGCCTTTGTTGTAGGCCTCGGACCAAGGATAAGCCATGGCGTCAAGACTGGGATACGAGACGGCGGTGAGTATGAGGGGTGCTTCCGAGCCAAGTGCAACACTGATATGCAATGATCACAAGCGACGCTTTCACGGCTCATGCGTGCAAGCGAACCTGCAAGGCAACCCGGATTTTGTTCACCACCATCTGGCAGTGTGTGCCATTCGATTGCCGGCTTTGTCGCCAAATGGAAGCTGCAGGGCTAAGCCGGACTACGTGGCCTTCAAAAAATCAAGATGCTACACTGCTACTGTCTCTTTCAGTGAGGGCTGCGCTTACGCTTCTTGCAAGCAGGGCTAGCAGCTGCAGTCTCAGAAGATTCAGCAGACAGCGTCTTGTCACGGTCCAGTCGGACGAACTGCTGGGCGCCTGTCGGGTGGCGATAAGCTTTCGGCACCTCATAGCTCACGGGATCACTGAGCACCCACGCATACCAGCGGCGCCAGCGGAAGCTGGCCAGACGCTCCCTGGAGACATTATGCTTCGTCATGTTCTGGGGCAGAAGAAGATGGTGCTGCTCGTGGCCTTCCACAGCCAAGAGCTGGCCGCCCGCGTCCACACGGCCCACTGCCAGGCAGTCAACGATGTCTACCTCGCCAAGCAAGAAGCCTTTGTATGCGAGAGCAATGCGCTCGCGCTTCGCTGTCCGGCATCCCCGCAGCTCCCACGTTTTGGCGCCGCTCAGAATCTGTCGAATCCACGATTCTTCAACAAGCAGGGCCGAGGCAGGCGTCGGTCCCAATGTCACTGCGGCCATGCTGAGGATGAGAGCTGTGCTCTTGATGACAGTTGCTGCAGAAAACATGTAGGTGTATTGCTTTGCTCGATGCAATTTACACAGCAAGCACAGAGAGTCACCTCGCCTCGTACCGCAGACGGGTCGAACCCTTTTTTTGCTCCAGCTCGAGACATGAGCGGCCCTGCACGAATTGGTGAGACGCCTAGCCCAACAAACAATATACGGCTTGAAGCAACAAAACGGCGTTGGGCATGCCCGGCCTGAGGGGGTTCCCCCCCAGCACCGGGGAGGCAAGGTGTTGAGTCTGCCGTTACGCTGCTGTCGCGGGACCCGGTCCGCACCGTAGGGAGGCCAACGCGCCTCGGCAGGGACTCTCGCACCTACTTTTAAGGGTTTTCTGAAAAACCGAGGTTTCTGCATTCGCAATTTTCGGGCGCACGAACGCGGAGGCAAAAAAAACGCACAAAAGCGCACCCAAAAAAAACGGCCACTGCTCCGGGAATAGGAACAGTGCCACAAATTTCGCCCCCCACGGTCACGCAAAAACGCGAAAAAGAACAGGGCAGGCCGTCACGCGCGTCACGCGCGTCACGCGGAGACGCGTGAAAAACGTCACGCGCGTCACGCGCGTTCGGCCGAAAAGGCCGTCACGCAGGGCCGCGTGACGCGCGTGACGCGCGTGACGTCGGGCTCCTGGGCACCCGGCGCGCGTGACACGCGTGACGCGCGTGACGCGGTGACGGGCGAGGGCTTGGGCTCGGGAGGTCAGGCAGGCGAGGGCCGAGGGGGCCAGAGATGCCCAGGCACCCTAAGAAAAAGGGTGGGTACGGCCTAAGCAGGCCTGGGTGGGAATTTAGGGTTCCAGGGTTTAGGGTCTAGGGTTTTAGGGTTTGGGGTTTGGGGTTTAGGGCGTCTCGCCGCGCAGCGGCAGCATTTTCTATGTAGGATGGCGCCCCAACACTCCCAGGGGTGTGGGGGGGCGGCATATCGACGTCTAGCGTTCGAATGCGATTCCACCACCAAACAATTACACATTGGTTCCTCACCTTTTCCCACCCGCTGTGAGAATACACAGGCTACCACCCAAAACATTACCTTTTAGGGTTTAGCGCTTACGCCCTCAATTCCCACCGACGCACTTACACACGCCACAAAACAGATAGGGTCAGGGCCAGGTGGCGAAGGCCAGGGGAGGGCCAGGGGGGGGCAGGAGGGGCCCAGGGGCCAGGAGGGGGGGGTCGGGCGGGCGACGACAGAAAACCGCCAGGAGCCCGTCCCTGGAATTTGCCAGCTGGGGGGCACCCTGGGCCGGCCTCTGGGGCCTTTTCTGAAGGGGGCCAAAAGGAAAACACCACCAAGGGATTTGGTCGTCGGGTTTAGGGTATTTTAATCTCTTGAGGTTCGAGGGAATTCCCTCTGCGAATATGGGCGCCACGCAAGGGGCCTAATGGCTTAGGGGCTGAATTCGACCACTCTCCAATGGCTCCACCCATTGTCCATCCAGAGTTGGTGTCAATCACTGCCGGATTTCCTTCTGGGTCCAGGCACCCTAAGAAAAAGGGTGGGTACGGCCTAAGCAGGCCTGGGTGGGAATTTAGGGTTCCAGGGTTTAGGGTCTAGGGTTAGGGGGTTTGGGGTTTTCGGGTTTAGGGTTTCAGGGTTTAGGGTTTTAGGGTTTAGGGTTTCAGGGTTTAGGGTTTTAGGGTTTAGGGTTTGGGGTTTAGGGTTCCAGGGTTTAGGGTCTAGGGTTTTAGGGTTTGGGGTTTGGGGTTTAGGGTTTAGGGTTCCAGGGTTTAGGGTCTAGGGTTTTAGGGTTTGGGGTTTAGGGTTTAGGGTTCCAGGGTTTAGGGTCTAGGGTTTTAGGGTTTGGGGTTTTAGGGTTTAGGGTTTCAGGGTTTAGGGTTTTAGGGTTTCAGGGTTTAGGGTTTTAGGGTTTAGGGTTTGGGGTTTAGGGTTTAGGGTTTAGGGTTCAGCAGCTCCGGGTCGAGCAGTTTTAAAGTAGGGTTGTGCTTACGGTGTAGGAATAACACCCACCCACCCTTAGAATCCCACAACATTAAGAGCATACAAAGTTTCAATTCATTCACAGCTTAAAACTATTATCGCCGAACGTTATACAACACTAAAAGCATTAACATAAACTAAAGTGGTGAATCTAGCCACCCAAAGAACCCCATAACACTAGGATCTACAAATTTCTTCATAATTTAGCCCTTGCTTAAGCACCCACCACTTCCATAATGAGCTAATAAAAATTGTTTCGCTTATTGGGGCGTTTGGAAGGCAAACCTCTTGTGGAATTGTTTCGCTTATTGGGGGGCAGTCACACCAAGCAGTCCCAGGAAAGCCAAGAGCATGAGCATCGCTTATTGGGGGGTAGTCACACCAAGCAGTCCCAGGAAAGCAAAGAGCATGAGCATCGCTTATTGGGGGGTAGTCACACCAAGCAGTCCCAGGAAAGCAAAGAGCATGAGCATCGCTT